TGGCGGGTCTCACTTCGGAGAGCGACGCTGTGTGTCCGCCGTTGCACCAGCCATATATTGGCGAGTTTCTCAAAGCGTGCTGGCAGACTCTTCTCATGGAGCCCAATTTTCGGCCGGGTTGGGCTCCGAAAGAGCACTGCATTCTCTTGGATTGGTACTTTGACAGTGTGCTGCCGACCCGCCCCAACGACAACTACCTCGGCAAGTGGCTACCGGCGTCGCTGCTCTTGGTTGTCGACAGCTTTGTGTATTCGCGCGTCGCCGGCTGGCCCTTGGAGCTCTTTGAGGCTCCAACGCGAAGGAACCGGCTCCAGGATCTTCCCGAGGCCTTACTGGCGGCCATCGAGTGCCAACCATCGCTCCACCAAGCTCCGTACATTGCCGCAATCACCGCAGCTTTGGCGAACGTCAAGTTGATGCCTGGGTGGTTATGCGCTGATGAAATTGCTGCTGCAGTACCTCGAGGTCGCCAACGGCGTCGACGCGACGCTTCTCTCAACGTGTCCAGCCTTGTCCCATAACGCTCACGACGTCATACTTGGCATCTTCATGTTCGCCGAGCGCATGCCTCTACCGGTCGCAACGGCGGCGCTCGTGGCAAGCTTTCTGCTCGGCTTGACGCCAACAGTCCAGTGGGAGCGATGCAAAAGCTTGAGCAAGAAGCTTCCGTCCGTGCACACGTTGGCCGTCTTTCTCAGTGCCCTTGCGATTCTGTCGCCCGAAGCGGCGCTGCAGGGCGCGGTCAAGTGGCGCTCGGTGCTACCCCAGACACTCGACACCGTCCGCGACGTGTTCTACCCCCTCGTCGAGCTGTTAAAACACTAGTCCCACGACGAGCGCTACCGCGCGCTGCTCGTGTACTTGGCCACCGAGTGCCGGGCAGCTTTGGTCGGCGGCGGCGCGCTCCCGCCATTGAACGACGCTGCTGTCGCTGACATGGACATCGACGCGACGCACTGTGACCAGTGCGCTGCCTTTGCGTCCCACCTTCGTGCACGCACCGAGACCGAGAGGCTCCACGCGTTCGTCCTCTGCGGCGTGATCGACGAGATTGCAGCGCGTCACCCGCAGGAGCTCACACTCGAGTTGGACGACGACGGCTACATTGTGCATTTTAGGCGGCGAAAGCCACCTGTTAATCCAGCAGCAAACGTGCGTCACGAAGCCGGGTCTTGGGAGGATATGCTGTGCGTCAAGCAGCTCACTGCGTTGCTGTCAGACCTCGCACCACGAGCGTCGGTACGTACCCTCTCACAGGTGGGAGCCCGTGGCCGACCTTTTCCTGCGGTTAGGGTTCGAAGCGACGCATCCAAGATAATATCGATGCAGTGTATTGACGATATATATGTAACACACTCTGTGCAGCCGATCATATTGCTGGTTCCACGTTAGGCTGACTACCCTCCTACACTCCTACGTTAGGCTGACATAATGGCCTAAGCCTGTGCGCTAGAGGTTGAGTGCTCACAACGCCCCCTTCAGCCCTCTAGCGATTGATTGCTGCAAAAACAACGTCTAAGCTCTGGCTCGCGTATTTTCGTAACTGAGACACCGAGCACGTGGAGAGGAGTCAAGCATGCGTAGGTAGAGAGGCAGGGAGCGCTCTAAATCTACGATGCAGAATGTAAGATGGGATTCACACTGTGCCATCAGCCTGCGCCCGCAAATGCTCCATCCTTCTAGCTTCTATTCCTCTGATTTTTTGTGTTCTAGTCTTCTGTACTTCTTTAATTAATGAATCTACCTTGATTCGAAACAACAATCGAACGTTTCCCAGTCGAACGCAACGTCAGATTTCTCGATCGCTGTGCTTCTGATCAATCTTTGCCGACAACAAAGAATGCCATCCGTAACTCTGTACGAAGCTGCCTTTGAGAAGCATCTGCAGTCCCAGGCGTATGCCTATCGAACCAAACCGTCCACGCCACTGGAGCC